TGGGTTTAGTTTGAACCCCAAATTATTTTTTTAACACCATGATGAAAGGCAGAAAAAAGATATCTTTTCCCACACCCATTTCAGGCCACATTCTGGTTTTCCCTTTCTTTCTTTCTGTTTCACTTTATCAGATACCTGGCTTGCTTCTTACCTACAAACCAGAGTCTTGAAGCTGCCAAAACTAAACACAAAAACTTATGAATTTTGATATAATTCATAAATGATAAAAATACCTCTTTGCTATAGGAGATGAAATGTTCACTTTTCTATGTGAATTTCATGATCATAGACATTTTAGAGAAGCACAAACTATAAAGTATATGAGGCATAGTTAGCAATAGTTAGAGTATCTACAGTACAGATAATCTTTGACTAATGGCCGGTTGCTTAGTAACTATCCAAAGTTACGACAGACCTCTTCAAGGCTACTTACAACCAAGATTTGAAGTTCCGATGGCCATTACCCCCACCCTCTGGGGTCAGCTCGTCATATTTTGGGCGCTCAGCAATTGGCCCACAGTTACGGCCATTTTCAGCATCCAGTGGACATCTGACTGTAATTTACGATTGTTATTTTTTGCCGTAAACTTTACTTCCAGTTTCCAGCAAAAAACAAAGTCAGTGCAGACAATAGATTCATTTAACAGCCATGGTGATTCATTTAACAACCATTGCAAAAAAAGGTCATAAACTCAAGCACAGTCACATGGTGTCCTGTTTAACAGATGGCATGGTTTGCACCCTGGTTCCATGCTTAATTATGGATATAATCTGAGGATTACTTGTAACTGCATGCAACTGAATATGACTAGAAACCAATTGCAGAACCTGCTACTACAGGGGTCCCCAACCCCCGGTCCGTGGACCAGTACCGGGTCACAACATGCTAGCAACCAGGCCGCACAAACAAGCAAAGCCCCATCTGCAAGATGTAGGCAGCACACAAAACCACACACCCTCCAGTCCGCAGAAAAACCTCTCTCCACGGAACCGGTCCCTGGTGCCCAAAAGGTTGGGGATGTCTGTGCTACTAGATGTGGGATGAGGCTTTCAGAAAATGGAGACTTTCAGAAAATGGAGAGACTCATTCAATGAAACATCTCCTCTGTACATTTTTGTCTATTCACGTGTTTGGACAATAACAACATGATTATAACTGCATTTCTGGATGTTTCCCCATTTTCAAATATTAAATGTTAAATTTAGTTTGAATTTAAAAAATAATCCAAAATTAAGTATTTATTTATTTATCTCTTGAACTATCTTAACAACATAATAATAACAGTTCTTAGTATAAACGTGCTGCTTGAGAATACTATTTAATTGTTGTTCGTCCATCGAATTCGATGAGGACCTTGACATCTTGTGGATTATGGGCCATCAACGATGTGTCCGTAGGTGGCTGATAAGACCGATGTTAGCACGGAATGTTCTGCCACATACTGAACAAAGAAATGTAGACACTGTTACATCAGCATTTACAGCTCTGGCTTTGCGGAGTGCTCGCTTCTCTTGTGCCAAGATTGTCCTTCTGTGTTCATATGTCTGGCAACCCTGGTACACCAAGGTGCGCCATGTCGGTCGATCATGCGCCAGAAGTTCCCAAGAGATGGTGTTAATATCCAGAGACTTAAGAGAGGCTTTCAACGTGTCTTTGTATCGCTTCTTTTGTCCCCCATGCGATCGCTCTCCTTGAGACAGCTCACCATAGAAGAGCTGTTTAGGGATGCGATGATCTGGCATCCTTACAACATGGCCTGCCCATGTTGTAAGCTTACTATTATTTAATAGTAAGCTACTAAGAAGCTAAGGGAAAGTGGATCTTCAATACAATTAAGCCCCATTTACAAATATTCATTTATTATTTCCCATTTGCACTTGATTGCAAATAAGAGTTCACAAGTTCCCCTCACGTAGCACATGCAGACTTATTCTGTAACTGTACTCAAGGCCCATTGACTATCATCAGTTTTCCAAATATTAATATTCATATTACTCCCTGTATTTTTAATTGGGCAGAAGAATCTGGCAAGTGAGTTCTGGGCCTGGCCCAGCCAGTTACAGTCAATGAATATCAGAAGTGGATCATCTGATGGTTCCCAGGTCATAGTTTAAGTATCACTGCTTGTTTAACTCTTCCCAAGGACATTTATACAATTAGAAACCATGATATGGGACTGGGTATCTTTATAAATAATGCAAAAAATATGAGTCAGAAAGTCCCTGATTCAAACTTCTCATCAGTCATTAATTCAGCAGTGACCTTAAACAGATTATAGCATCTCAGCTTCCTCCATCAAACCTGGAATTAGTAATATTGGCAAACCTTTCATGAATATTTTAAAGACTGAAAAGATAAAATATGTATGACTTTTTTTTTCAGACACTCAGCAAACCTTTATAAATATTAACATTGTGGACATTAGTGTATTTAACCATTCAGATTGGATCGTGGCTTCCTTTCAGTTCAACATTTATTCAGGTTTTTGTTTTTTAAAAAAGAGGAATTCCCATTTTATGAGGTTAAATTGTGTAAAAAAAAATTCTTAAAATCCTCAAATACTAGTAATGAAATGTTATGGTCAGAAAAGCTAAGCATATTTTTTTTCTCCTTCTCCATCCCATTCTTCCATCGACGGTATCTTTGAGGGGATGTCAAAATGGGTGAAGTTTGCATGATTCAAGCACAGTCAAGTCTGTGTGTGCATCATGATTGCAGGCACGTACAAAGAAAAACAGCTTGAATGATGATGTGAGACCATTAGCTCGCCTATATTGACCCTCACCTCACTGCTATCTTATATTGTAATAAATATAATCTGAAATAAAAATGTTACTATCATCATCAACAACAACAACATCAATCATCACCATCTACTTCAGGGCTTTTCAACCAGTGGTATAGGTACTACCTGTGGTACATTGGCACCTGGCAGGTGGTACGCAACCATCCTAGAAAAGTGGTAGTGGGAGAGGGGAATGAGCTGAACTGCTGGCAGCACCGCACAAGCCTGAGTGAGAGATGGCTGGAGCTGCAGGGCTGTCAGGGCTTAGCAGAAGCGCCAGGATCAGTGCCGCTTTCCAGCTGATCGGCGCTTCGGGGCTGTCAGGGCTCAGTGGAAGTGTCAGGATCAGCGCCAGGATCCAGCTGGAGCTCGGCGCTGATCCTGGTGCTTCTGCTGAGCTCAGAAGAAGCGCCGATCAGCTGGAATGTTGCAGCATCTCCAGGGTCTTGTGATTTACATTCAGATGCTTGGCAACTGATTCATATTTATGATGGTCACAGTGTCCCAGGGTCATGTGAAGTGACCAAAACCTGCTGCAACCACCCAGCAGACGGGGGGAATAAAAACCAAACACCCCCCCACCTCCGCTGCCAATCCTCAACAGAAATGCTCACAACAATGAAAACCTCGGACAGGAGGAAGAGCGCCACTGGGTGGGCAGGCAGGTGTCTTACTCGGCTGTGGCTTGGGGGGCACTTTTTTCAGTGCCATTGTAACTTCGAACAGTCACTAAGCAAAGTATTGTAAGTCAAGTACTTTATCATTTTTTTTCCTCTTTTTTTTTTTTGGGTCATCAAGTTTTTGACACCTTGCTAGGCGACTGATGGTACTCGGATGTTGCCATATCCTAAAAGTGGTACAATGGGTGAAAAGGTTGAAAAGCCCTGACCTACTTGATCATTCCTATACTTACCTACAGGAGAAAGATGGAACAGCAGTAAAATCTATCATCTCAATATTCACCTGAACAGCTTCTGTCCTAGAATGTCAATCAAAGAACATTTATTTATCCGAATTTATGAAATTGATGAAATATGAACTTTAAGGACTAGTGTTTATGTTTGCTTGTTTATTTTTTGGTTTGGTTTGTTGTTCTTTTCCTTCTATGCATGTGAACAAGGAGACTCTTGAGTTTCCTCTGTAAATAGCTTTTAATAAATTGTAAATGCAGGTAGTCCTTGACTTACAACATTTCATTTAGTGACCGTTCAAAGTTACAACGGCATTGAAAAAGTAACTTATGACCACTTTTCACACTTTTGCAGCATCCCCATGATCACGTGATCAAAATTCAGACGCTCGGCAACTGACTCATATTTATGATAGTTACAGTTGCCCCATGGTCACATGATCACCTTTGATGATCTTCTGACAAGCAAAATAAATGGGGAACATTAACAGTTGTGTTACTAACTTATCAATTGCGGTGATTCAATTACCAATTGTAGCAAGAAAGGTCGTAAAATTGGGCAAGACTCACTTAATAAATGTCTCACTTAGCAACAGAAATTTTTGGTTCAATAGTGGTCGTAAGTCGAGGACTACCTGTACTGAGTTTGTGTGAGAATCACATTAAGCTACTTTGAAGGAAAGATGCAAATCAAACAAACCAATGGGATAATCATCTCATGGCATCCATCCCTCTCAATTCCTGGCAAATAGATGGGGAAGAAATGGAGGTAGTGACAGTTTTTATCTTCCTGGGCTTCAAGATCACCGCAGATGGGGACTGTAGCCAAGAAATTAAAAGATAATTTAAGGAAGAAAGCTATGGCAAACCTAGACAGCATACTAAAAAGCAGAGACATCACCTTGCCAACAAAAGTACGTATAGTCAAGGCCATAATTTTCCCATTTGCAATGTATGGCTGTGAAAGTTGGACCATAAGAAAGGCTGAGCGCCAAAGAATTGAGGCCTTTGAACTGTGGTGCTGGAGAAGACTCCTGCGAGTCCCCTGGACTGCAAGGTGATCAAACTGGTCAGTCCTAGAGATCAACCCTGACTGCTCTTTAGAAGGCCAGATCCTGAAGTTGAAACTCAAATACTTTGGCCATCTAATGAGAAGGAAGGACTCACTGGAGAAGAGCCTAATGCTGGGAAAGATTGAGGGCAATAGAAGAAGGGGGCGACAGAGAACAAGGTGGCTGGATGGAGTCACTGAAGCAGTAGGCGTGAGCTTAAATGGACTCCAGAAGATTGGTAGAGGACAGGAAGGCCTGGAGCAACGTTGTCCATGGGGTCGTGATGGGTCGGACACAACTTCACAACTAACAACAACAAAGAATCAACAATAACTTAATTATCTTTCCATTTACTATTGTGGGATCAGGAAGAGGGTAAATTTCAAGAACATCCTCCAGCTTAGACAGAATGGAATTACATCCTTTATTCATCAGCATTTACTGAATTTTAGAGCAGCTTTCCCAATACTACGTCACTTCTTTTTAAAAGGATATTTGCCACTAGGTGACAGCATTTCCACGGATAAGCTGGAATGAAAGTGGGACAAAAGAAGAAAGTGGAAAAATTAGTTGAGGGTTCATTAGTTTGCAACAGGAAAACAAAAATTATTTATTATACTGAAAGCATTTTATGACAGTGATATCGTTGTGAGGAAAGAATTAGCCGTATTGTTACATCCATCAGGTGCTTTCCACAGAAATGAATCTTTCAAGCTTTCTTCAGAATATCAACAGACATATGATAAGCTCCACCCCCTTTGGGGCTGCCAAAGGGGGTGCTACTGCTTTGATCATCACTCTGCCCCCCAACATCTATGTGAAACGTATGTTTTGTGTGAGCTTTTTATTTATTTTATTTTTATTTTATTTGCCCTCTACACCACCTTATGTTAAACACAATTCCCAGTGGTTAAAAACAAAAACGCAATAAAGTATCTGTGGTAAGCTGAAACAGTAAATTAAGTTCTAAATATTAATTTAAAATTCATATTCAACCAGCATGGTCAGTAAAAATCAAGCATATCTAAAACTGAAACATCATTGTAATAAAGCACTCCCACTGCCTTGTTAACCTCAAGAATCTTTTAGCTTTGGTTCTTTTAACGTAAATTTTAATCTTGTTTTCAATTCTGTCTTTAACTATGCTTTAAGTCATGTTTTTATATTATATTGTTGTGTTGTTTGTAAACTACCCAGAGTCACATAGGTGATATGGACAATGTAGAAATTTCATAGAACCGTAGACCATAGAACTGAAAGGGATTTTGGATGTCTTTTAGTTCAAGGGACTAGTCTAAGGGAACAGGGTATGTTTAGCCTAATGAAGAGAAAACTTAGCAGTGGCATGATAGCCATCTTCCATTACTTGGAGGACTGTCACAGAGAAGAAAGGGTTGATTTATTCTCCAAAACACCTGAAGGCAGGACAAGAAGCAATGTGTGGGAAGTCAGCCTCCTCCCCAGAGAAAGAAATATTCTCGGAAATATTTAAAAGACAGAATATATTTCCCTAAAGGATTTTAAAAGCAGAAACCAACCCTGCTCCAAAGCCTCTCTGTTCCAAACAGAAACCAAGTCTGCAGAATTGCAGATGTCATAATCTTGTCAGAAACACTGGAATCAGGAAACTGGGATTAGGAAGAAAGATCCCTAGAATCAACACACCAAAAATCTAAGAGTCATCAGTCACAGCCCCAGGGAAGCAGGATTGACCTTTGAGACATAATAGGATTAACCCACCACCATCAGAATACCAGAAAGGCACACTCAGACTTAGGTCAAAGTTCATGCCACAGGAACAACTCCAAACAAAAGGGTCCAGAGGGTATAAAAACCCACTCCCTACATGTGGTCATTCGCTTTTCTTCCAGAGCCATCTTCCTGTCTGGCTCTCCTCTTCAATAAACTGCAACCTTCTTTCTAAAGCAGTCGCCATGTTGTTTATTCCCAGCTTGGACTGAATCATGATGAAACTTTTCCTTCAACAATTGCGGGGAAATTTCTCAGAGGGAGGTCCAGTCTGGAACTAAGGAGAAATTTCCTGGCAGTGAGAACAATTAATCAATGGAATGGCCTGCCTTCCAGAGCTGTGGGGAATAGAGGTTTTCAAGAAAAGATTGGACAACCATTTGCCCGGGATGGTAAAAGGTCTCCTGCTTTGGGTAGAGGTTGGACTAGAAAATCTCCAAGATCCTTTCCCGTCCTATGTTTTTATTCTATTCTGTTCTGTTCTGTTCTGTTCCATTCTATTCTACTCCATTCCGTTCTGTTCTATTCTACTACACTAGGATGCAGCCAATGGATTTTCTGTAGAAGAAAATAGTAGAAGATGGAAAATTGGCAGGATTACAAATAGAGCACGATAATACCTGGATCCTTTCCTTATACAAAATTCCACAAATGAAAAAAGGTTACAACATTAAATGCTTGTTCTCTGTCTCTGGGTCTTTATCTGTTTGTGTATATGTGTGGGTGTGTATGTATGCCTTCAAATCAGTCTTAACTCTGGCTACTACAAGATTTGAAAAGTGGTTTGCCATGGCCTAGTACAGTGATGGTGAACCTTTTAGAGACCGAGTGCCCAAAAACCGCTCCGCCCGCACTACCCACCCCACCCGCCCACAGGGCCACCCACCACCTCCACGGCCCAATGCAGCAGATTGCCCAGGGGGCCCAGCAGCACCATGGCAGCCACACCCTCCACCCGCACCCGGCAGCAACATCTGCATGCGATGGGGCGTGAGGGCGGAGTCTTGTCCCCGCTGCCCTGCTGCCATGTCCTTGGCTGTGCTGCTCCGCGCAGGCCACACCCTGGGGCAACTCTCCTTGGGGGGGCTGCTGGTGAGGAGGGGGCAATGGAGGGAGGCAGGGCTTGGGTGACAGCGTGCATGCCCACAGAGAGGCCTAATAGTTCTTGGGACTGAAAGAAAGTAAGCAGCTCAAGCTCATCAGGTGGATTTATGCCTAAAGTGAGATTAGAACTTATGGTCTCTTGGTTTCTAGCCTGTCTTTAATGCTACACCAAACTAGTCCTCCAAGGTGCTTATGGATTTCCGTATACTGTAGATGTTTATATATTTAATTTAAATCATTCATTTTTTCACTTACCTATCTTTTTTTTCCTCTTCATGTTTATTTATTTATTTATTTTTATTGAAAAGTTTTATACAAATTATTACAATACAATATCCCTCCCTCCCCCCCACCCTAATCCTAACCCCCCCCCCTCACTTCCCAGAGCTGATTACAGGGTTGCAAATAAGCAAACAAACTCTAACTAAGCTTATTCAACTATACCAATAACCAAATCCCTAAAATACTTTAACTCAAATACAAGAAAATTTCAAAGAAAAACAACAATATAAACAATTCCCACATTAAACTATGAGTTATTCAAAAACTAAATGATACTTTCTAATCCCATATTTATTCTGTACATAATTTATCCATCTTCTCCACACCGAGATGTATCTTTCTTGTGAATGATCCTTCAAATCTTGACCATTTCTTGAAAGAGAGATGCCTTTTATCTCGGGGGGGGGGGGAATCAGGTAAAAGAGAAAAATCTTGTGTATATTTATAAATCTGTAACAGTAACAGACTGCTAGACAACCCGTTGAAAACAAAAACAGTTCCAAGCCTGGTTGGTATTTGTTTAGGAACTTGCTAAGAAATCCAAAGGCTACATACTAAATTGGAGAGTAAAAAAACAACCAAACGGGCTGAGATTGACTTGAAAAATACTTTATCTTATAGACATGAATAAAATAATTAAAAGACATTTGGCCAAATCATCACAAAACTATGGAACACATCTGGGGGAATATCACCACTGCAGAAGGAGCTCATTGAGTGACTTTGGAGTAGTCGTTCCTGGGAAATTATTTTCAGCCAAGGCTACATTTCATACTAGCTGACAACACAGCAGTGACATTATTACGTTACATAAGTAGTCAGCAACATTTTCAAAGAAGCTTCAATTTCTTTGGGAAAGAGGTTCCTATTAATATAGAGTGGTGTGATTTGGGCAATTTAAAAGATAAAGCTTTTCTCAAGTTGAGCTGGTGACTTCATGATTATAGCTAGATTGCTTTCTTGACAATAATATAGAAGTGGCTTGTTATTTACTTATTCCATTTTTAAAAAAAAAATCTATTTTCTAGTCTAAAACCTGGATTTCTATTATTTACTGAAACAGGTTTTGGTGAAGAAGTAGTTCAGAGATCTCATGTGGTGGCATAGCAGTTAGGGTGCAGTACTGCAGGCCACTTTAGCTGACTGTGTTCAGCAGGTCAGCAGTTCAAATCTCACCGGCTCAAGGTTGACTCAGCCTTCCATCCTTCCGAGGTAGGTAAAATGAAGACCCGGATTGTTGGTGGCAATATAATATATATATATATATACATTGCTTACTGGTGTACACCGCTTAGAGAGTGCTTGCACTTAAAGCGGTATATAAGTCTCATAAATAAATAAATAAATAAATGAAACATTCATTCTAAAAAAATTAAAATGCAATATAAATGTTAAAAAAACTATTTTCTCCAATAAAATTAATGTACATAAGACCTCCAGGTATGCTCCAGTATGTATAATTTTCTCCAGTAATTTTTCCAATTTGGGAGGATATCATGGCCACTGTAGAACAATCTGTAACAGTTGATAGAGCAAATGGTTTTAAAGATGGAGGAAACAGTTAAGTCAATAGATGGGATTTTTTTTTGTCAGTCATACCACACCTTCTGCCTGAAGGTCTTTTTGGCAAAGTTCTGAGAATAATAACTTATAACTAATTTGAATGATGCTTCCCCAGATGCTTTTGATCAACTCTTGATCAAATGCCTCTAAATGTGCTGGTTTATAAATTCCCAATGACCAGGCAAGATGGAGAATGTTGCTTTTTTAATTTATTATTTATTAAAGAATTTGCAGATGGAAATGTTAGTATTTCTTGGATCATGCTTTTTTATTGAATTATTAGTGATCACTTAAAATATGTACAATAGATTACAAAAGAATAGAAACACGTGACTTCCTTTATGTAGTACTATAGAAGACACAGTTTATTCGATTAATTTTAAGTCTCTAGAAGCTCTTATTAAGGCTAGTTAACTTCAGAAATAGAAAACGTTTCTTTTCCTAATGTCAGAAGTAAGTCTTCATTCCGTTTCATCCAAGCCAGGGATAAATAAGCAACATGGCGACTGCTTTGGGAAGATGGTTACAGTTTATTGAAGAAGCAGAAAGATGGTCCTTTCAAGAAAGAGCAGAGCAGAGGAAAGAGGAATTGAGAGGAGTTGGGTTTTTATACCCCCTCTAGCCTTGTTTGGAATAGTTTCTTGTTCCTGTGGCATGAACCTTGAGGCTATTTCTGAGTTTTTCTAGGCCTTGATATCTGTGGTTTAATCCTATTATCATATCCTGCTTCCCAGGTGATGGGGCTAATGACTCCTAGAGTTTGGGTGGGGCATGCAGATTTTCTCTTTGTCTTCTTGAGTGCTCTGGCTTCAATTTTCTGATGGTTTTACATCTGCATTTGTATGGGGCTAGCTCTTGCTTGGGGCAGAGAGATAGATTTGGGGCCAGGTTTGGTTTTAAAAAGTCCTTTTGAGGAAAAATATATTTTTCTGCCCTTTTAATATTTCCTTCTCTGGGCTAACTTCCCTCACTAATAGCCTAATTGCCTTCTAGATGTTGCAGTAAGGAGGATTCTATAATATACCTCATGAAGTTGCATATTTTTCAGAAAATTTGTATCAGAAAAAGTAGGGGAAAACAGGAACCTATTTTTCCTTCATTTTCAGATTGCTTCATATCCCTCCATGCATAGATTAATATTCTTCAGTAGCAATGGATATGGGAAGTGATTCTACTTGTTGTGAGCGGATTAGAAAGCACCACAAGTCATATCCACCCTATTTGTGGGAGAGAATGGAATGTTTCCTAAACTTGTATAGTTTTATAGCAATTTCTTTAGCCTATGGCAACAGCTAAAATCGTCTGAGAAAGAGACCATGTATTTCTATTATGTCACATTAAAGGTGGCCTGAGCACACATTACCTTCTCATCGGAGACTCTGAAACACATTTTAGACTTTTGGTTTTGCTAGATTTCACAAGCCATGCCCTGTGTTTGAAACAGTAAACAGGGTTCTGCTCACAGTTAATTATGTGTCACAGCACAGGAAAAATTGGAAATGAGACAGCTGGCAGAGTAATATAACTGTTTATTTCCTCTTGAATAAAAAGTCTTATCTATGGTTTTATAATTCATGAGAGTGACGCAGTCTAGCTCAATCATTAATCATCAAAATAGCCTAGGCTACTGACATGATGAATACATAGAAGTTAAGAATAGTGCTGCTAGTATGATTTCAGACTGCGAAAATTCTCAGTTATGCTCAGGAGTGTAAAACAAAGACCTGCTGAACTGTGTTAAAACGTTACCGATGACACATTTTAAGTCCTACGTCAGTATCAACAAAAGTGTTGGGAGTGTACTAGCTAAGAAATTTTATCCTAGCATGTCTGGAAATGTATAGGTGGGTGGAAATACACTTAAATATCCCTCTATAACTGCTCAACTATGAAGATCCATTTAGAGCAGGGGTCTTCAAACTTGGCCCTTTTATGACTTGTGGATTTCAACTCCCAGAATTCCTCAACCAGGCACGCTGGCTGAGGAATTCTGGGAGTTGAAGTCCACAAGTCGTAAAAGGGCCAAGTTTGAAGACCCCTGATTTAGAGGCTGTGCTCTGGGTCCCACCATAGGGTCCAATACATTAGGGACTCAAGATTGTTTTCTTGAGTATGGCATCTTGACTATGGAACCCTTTCTTCTCACAGGCCAGATTTATGCCAACATTTATTTTATTTTGATGCTTTGTGAAAACCTATTTACCTATCCTTGACTGTAGCTCAGTATTAACTATTCCTATTTTGATGTGCAATCCTTTACTATATTATTATGGGTGGATTATTTTTCACTGTTTCATTCATGCTTATCCTACTTGGAGATCCACTGACACGGCACAATCCAAACATTCTAATTAATAAATTAAAATTCATAATGAAGATTAAGAGATGGGTAGAAAAATATATTATGGAAACATGGTAGAAAGCTGGAGCAGAGCTGATTTCCACTTAGAAAGGAATTACAATCTAAGCCTTTAGTTTAGGAAACGTAAATAAGTAATCCAAACAGATTAGTGTAAAGGAATTATGATATTTCATAATTCTTATCATCCAAGCAATGAAGCAATGATTTGGGTTAAGGAGGAAACAACGATTTGTCAGGATTGCTATGAGAGAAAGTCACCCATAAAAGTCACAAAAAATCCACAGAGCATGTTTAATTTCAAGAACAATTAACTGAACTAATAAAGAACAGCTAAAATAGTTTTTATAGTGACATTTGTCATCTAATAGCACATCTAGACTGCAATAATCAGTGAGATGTTTTTGACTTAAATCAGTGTTTTTCAAACTTTGAAACCTTTTAAGATGTGTGGACTTCAACTCCCAGAATTCCCCAGCATGTTAGGCTAGACCAGGGGTAGGCAACCTTGGCTCTTTTATGACTCGTGGACTTCAACTCCCAGAATTCCTGAGCCAGCATGGCTCAGCATGGAAACCTCTCTCTTTCCCCTCAGCTTGGCTGGCTCAGGAATTTTGGGAGTTGAAGTCCACGAGTCATAAAAGAGCCAAGGTTGCCTACCCCTGGGCTAGACTGAGAAGTCAAAAGGTATTTGGGAAAAAGCAACACAAACCATTTCTGTTTTGTTTCACAGATCTTTGTCCATTAAGCCCCAGAAGATTTGCTTGTCTCAAGCACAATTTATCTTAAATTTCCAACAATTCAGATTGGACAATATCTTGTTAACTACAGATTAAATCTAATATGACTTTATTACAAAATATCCATTTACCTGAAGATCAATTAGTTCTCCCTGCTACATCTTGGGCCTTCTAAGAACCCAATTTACTGTTGTCTTTTTTTCTTTGATAAAGCACAAATAAAGCAGTTGTGGCAACTACCCATCTCTGTTTCTTTTCCAATTCTTCTATGCCTTACACAGGCCCAAGGTGTATTCTAGAAAACAAAGACGCTAGGGTTGCATTTTTGCAGCTTGTCAGACTCTGTAGGTTTTTTAAAAATCAAACAGACTTTAAAACATTTAAAATAAAACAGACTTTAAAACATTTAAAATCAGTTGGGCAAGAGACCTATCACTAGGCATTGTCTCACTGTGAAGAGAACAATGTCATCAATCTCTTTTCCAGTTTGTAAAATTCCATCAGGTTCCTTGTTCTAATTGCTACAACAGGCTAATATAGTTACAGTTGTGGATAATTATAAGATTAGAAAGACATCATAAATAGCCCTGAGACATTGGTGTCTTGGTGAATGTTCTAGCTTTATTTGAATTGTTAATTTTTGGTGGCTCAGCTAACAATTGCTGCTTTGGTTTAGCAAAAGAAGAAAAGAAATCATCTATCAGCTGTATGATTAGGGAAGACTCTGTTAGGTTAGGCAACTGAGCCCACAAAAAATATTGGGACTCAATTCTAGGTAGACATGCACAGAATCCTAGGATCTAGCAGGGGACTTTACAGCTTTTATAAATCCCTGTAGAGCAAATCTTTGAAGCTTTTCTCATCCTGACACCAACCACACCTGTTACATCAATTTCAACTGTTCTTCAAACAGTACTTAGTAAAACCACAACTACAAATTTCATAATGATGTAGTAAATAAGTGGAGAACTGGACATCCATATGTCATTTTTCTGTACACCCAAAGCCTATTCATGTGCATATATACTATATGCCAGTGATGGCAAACCTATGGCACTGGTGCCAGAGGCGGCACTTGGAGCCCTCTCTATGGGCACACATGCCATTGCCCCAGCCTTGCCTCCCCCCGCGACCCCCTCACCAGCAGCCGCCCAGGAGGAGAGTCGCCCCCAAGTGTGGTTCACACGGAGCAGCACAGCCAAGGACATGCAGTCAGGCAGCGTAGACAAGGCTCTGCCCTCACACCCCATCGCGCAGTTGATGCTGCAGGGCACAGGGAGAGGGCATGGCCGCCATGGCACTGCTGGGCTGCCTGGGCAATCTGCGGCAGGCCCTGGAGGCGGTGCGTGGCCCTGCGGGCAAGCGGGGTGGGGGCAGGGCAGGGGGTGGAGCGGGGGCAGGGCCAGTTTTTGGGCACTCATTAATGTACCACAAGTGGTACGCGTACCACCGGTTGAAAAGCCCTGCTCTAGGAGGGGTGGTGGTGCTGACTTCCTACAAGCATAACAAATTTGTAAAGAATTGGGGGTTCATATTCATTGAGATGGGGCAGTTTTATCAGTCTAAGAGTTTACCTACTTATTATCAAAATACCTTACTAGATCAGACCCAAAGCCACAATAGTGGTAAAATGGAATATCTCTTTCCAATAGATAATTTTTTGACATAGTCCACAACTGGAAATGATAATGATGGTGATATTTCCAAATGGAAATAGAAATTTACACAAGGAATGTTCTGTTTACATATGTAGCTTTTCATCTCTGATTTCCAGCAGCAAAAATCCCTCCCAAATTCCACTCTGCCTCAACACCTAAGGCTTGAATCAGAATTGGTGATGGACCTCTTGTGTGATATTTTGGTCTTTTGAGATGTCATTGGGTTTTTTCTGGATTTTTATTGATAAAACAATTATTTGTTCTAAAAAATTTTTTTATTGCTGTATTCTGTAAATCACCCAGAGTTACTTACAGAATAATAACAAGCTAGGGAGATCTAAACATTCCATAAGTAAATAAGTATATACATGCTTATCCCAAGGTCAGAAGATTCACTAGAGCAGTCGTGGCGAACCCATGGCATGGGTGCCAGAGGTGGCACTCAGAGCCCTCTCTGTGGGCAAGCATGCCGTCGCCCCAGTCCTAGGCCTTCAGCTGGGTTTTATAAAACCTTTTTGCTTTAGGCTTCCGCCGCCATGTGCAAAAAAAAAAAAAAGATTCAATCAATCAGTCAATTTCAACTTCTCGCAGGAAAAAAAAGATCTTGCAAAGTTGGAATTGATTGAACTTTTTAGTCCCATCCAGTCTGCCGTTACCACTGCAGCCACGCCCACCTGATGGGGCACCCGACAATGCATAAGCGGGTTTTGGGTTGCAGTTCGGGCACTCGGTCTCTAAAAGGTTTGCCATCGCTGCACTAGAGCAATACTTGATTATATATAAGATGTTGATTCCCAAATAAATTGTTTTCTCTGTCAATATCTACAAAGAACATCTTGTTTTTAATCCTCTGAATAAAGTGGTCAAATCAGAAGCACAATGGAATATTGTCATTTTTATGACCTAAAACATGGGATGAATAGCTCTTGTGTATTTCCATTCCACCCCAAACTTGCAAGTATCTAGTTTATTTGTTTATTTGTGCGGATGTTATGAAAGAAGAACATGTCAATTCAACTATTTTTACAGAATCATTAAAATGTTTTGAGCAATATAATGCTGCCAAAATTTGTGGCAGAATTGGCATTCTGTAATGTTAGGATACAAGACCCATGTCCTATATTTGAAATACTTGGCAGGACATAGTGAAAATTAGATGACAACAGCAAGAGCTTCACAAACACAAGTTTAAACAGGATTCAAGCAGTCTGGTGGTTTGAATTGCATAAGCATATTTTATAACTAAGGCAAAAAAAAATAGAGTCAAATTCAATAAACAAGACAGGCTTGACTGAAGAGACAAACAATTCACTTATATAATGGCAAAACACTGTTTTAAGAGATGGGTATTCATTATTAAATGGAAAAGTAACTGGATTTATTTTCACAGTTACATAATTACTAACATTGCTTTCTATAATTAAGATACTGGCACATAAAAACTAGTACAACTTATTGTAAATAAGTGGATGGAATTATTCTAGAGTGGAGACCTACCTTTTGAAATAAACATGCAAAAAACAAAATGCACTGAAGTTGCAATAAACAAAAAGAGAAACACTGAATACCTTTCAATTGGTATGGAGTAGAAATCCCATCAACTTCTAGCCACTAATTCCAATAGTTGAGAGCAATGGATGCTGGAGAATGGTCCAGAAGAGTATTCCTTGTCCTAAAAGAAACTACAGTTTGAACTGCAGCAATATGGGGTGAGGGAGAGGGACCAAACAAAAGGAAGCATTAAAAAGTGAAGGTCAGCTATTACACATAATGCATGATTCACATAAAATCCACTGTAAAACAAAGTACTCTTAATGCTTGCTTTGAAGAATGAGAATTGCATTCCCTCAAAGGAGTCAGATCCACTTACCAGCAGGGCAGGTAACAGCTATATCATTCTGTAGTATTTGCTAAGGTTCCCTTTTGTCTCCATTTGTTTCGGTGTTTTTTAAACTTGGCAACTTTAAGATGGGTGGAGTTCAACTCCCAGAATTTCCCAGTCAGCCTAGCCATCTTGAAGTTGCCAAGTTTGAAAAACATCGATTTATTTTACGGATGCATCAAGAGAGATGTGCATTAAGTAGACTAAGAGCTGTAGGAGCCACACTGCAAGACTGCTCTGCACACTGCTGCTTTACTTCACTGCACTTCGGGTCCTATGGGATAAAGTAGCTATGAATGAAATGTTGAAAGAAGAAAATGAGAATGGGCAAAACAAAACAGTTGTGAGGATTGTGGTGTGGGGATTTATGAAGGGGTCTAACCACAGCTGCGTCCCTGGGCTAGGTTCAGCCAGTATGAGGCAAATTTTGGAGGAATGTCCTAAAGGAATGTCCTCAAGTGAATATCCAAAACTATTGTATAGCATGTTTCTATAACAAATACATAATTATTAGTTATAGGATGCATTTAAAATAATGTTTCATTTCCTTTACAGAACATAATTCAAACAGTTACCCACCTTTAAACGGGCCTTAAAAACCTGGCTCTTCTCTGAGGTCTTGAGTTATAGTGTGTGTTTGGGCCTTTTTATGTTAGGGGATAAGGATATTATTTTTATTTTTTATTTTATTCATTTGTTTGCATCTCACCTTTATAATTTTTACAAATAATTCCAGGTTGCAAACATACCCAACACAACCTTCTGCTCCTATTTTCCCTACAACAACAAACTTGTGAGGTAAATTGGGCTGATATGAGAGGGTTTTATCCTTCCAAGTGTGGGAAGTCAGCCCCCCCCAGAGAAAGAAATATTCTTGGAAATATTTAAAAGGCAGAATATATTTTCCTAAAGGATTTTAAAAGTAGAAACTAACCCCACCCCAAGTCTCTCTGTCCCAAACAAAAACCAAGTCTGCAAAATGCAGATGTGATAATCTTGTCAGACTGGATTCAGGAAACTGGGATTAGGAAGAAAGATCCCTTGAATCAACAATCCCCCACACCAAAAAAAATCCAACAGTCATCAGCCACAGCCACACAGAAGCAGGATTGACCTTTGGGACATAATAGGATTAATCCACCACCATCAGAATACCAGAAAGGCACATTCAGACTCAGGTTAAAGTTCATGCCACAGGAACAACTCCAAACAAAAGGCTCAAGAAGGTATAAATACCCACTCCTTACATGTGCTCACTTTCTTTTCTTCCAGAGCCATCTTTCTATCTGGCTCTCCTCTTCAGTAAACTGCAACCTTCTTTCTAAAGCAGTTGCCATGTTGTTTATTCCTGGCTTGGACTGAACCATGATGAAAACTTCCTTCAACACAAGCAATTTTGTTTTTTAGTTGGGCAGCCCAGATTTTTAGAAATAAAGGAACTGTGGGAAAAAGAGCTTATTGTTTTTGCAGAACTGTGAGAAGACATGCCAGCCTGTGAAGCAAATACATTGTATATATTTTAATCTCATGAGCCTAGCTTGAAGCTTGAGAATTGTATCTAGGAAGGTCTCTGCTATGCTGAAAACCAGTCCTAACCAGAATTTACTGATATGATACCAACTTTAGAGACAACCCCTAGGAACTATCAACCATCAAAGGAAATTCGTAAATAAGGGCCAGGGGCGATAGAATTTGGGGAGTGAGTGAAGTAATCAGGAGTGGAGATAAAATATTCCTTTTAGGAGCTTTGGATAGGTTGTGAGGACATGATTACAGTATGATTACTAAGCCAATGAAGAAGAGGTGGGAGGTAAATTTGTAATAACAATGGGGAATATAAAGAATGAATATTGAAGATTTAAGGTGTGTCCACTGGGTGCTTGCATACACAAGGAGCACCCCCTTTGCAAAGGAGTAAATTACCACTGTTTTCTCTTGGAAGTTTTGGCTTGTGATTGTTTATTTCAACTAGACAAAGAATCCCCAGAAGTAACTTCAAAAAGTAGCTCTCAAGGGATCTGAAAGGAACTAAATTTACAAGTGGGTGCTTGTAGGAAGATATACACCAGTTTGTTCACATTTAGTGCATTTCTATTCTGATGTCATTAACAAATTGTTGAAGGAAAAGTCTTCATCATGGTTCAGTCCAAGCCGGGAATAAACAACATGGTGACTGCTTTAGAAAGAAGGTTGCAGTTTATTGAAGAGGTGAGCCAGACAGAAAGATGGCTCTGGAAGAAAAGAAAAGGAGATGTAGGGAGTGGGTTTTTATACCCTCTGGGGCTTTTGTTTGGAGTTGTTTCCTGTTCCTGTTTGAGGCTTTGTATTTCCTGCGTCAGGTATTCTGACCTGAGTCTGGGTGTGCCCTTTGGCATCTGTGGGTTAATCCTATTATATCCTGTCTTAGAGTTTGGGTGGGGTATGTAGATTTTAGGTGTCTTTGTCTTCCTAAGCTTCTAGCTGGGGGCCTCCGACCTTCCTGGATTATTTACATCTGCATTTCTACAGAGGTTGGGGGAGGCATACTTGGGACTATTAAGAAAAACTGGGCATGCTTTTCTGCCTCTTTAAGATCCTTTGAAGAAATATATTTTTCTGCCCTTTTAATATTTCATTCTCTGGGGGGCTGACTTCCCACAATATTATTGAAGGAAAATGTGAGATATCAGGAGGAAGAATATGGATCTTCAGAGTATCTGAGATACAAGGCTACAACCTTAGTCACCTTTGCTTCATTTTATTTATTTACTCTGTTCTGCAGTTCCAAAGGTGAGGAGCCTACAAACAAGCTGGAGATGAAGATGTGTAAATACAATTTTTTTTCCCAAATACAAATTGCTCCCTTTGTGTTTCAGTTCTGCCCTCTTTTAACATACACTTCTGGCCAAAGACTGGAATCTGAGAGGCAAAGTCTCCAGTCATGAAACATACTCAACATACATGAAACATACTCAAATCTATATTCTTAATTGGGTGATCCTCCAAACTACATGTGCTTTCCTCAAGCACATCTAACAGTCAAATTTTTATCCACTGTCTTCTGGACAAGGTATTTTATTTTTAATACTAGAGGTGACAGCCCCACTCTTTCCATCTCCCTCACTCCACACTATTCCTCTGAATTTTGAATGACGCTATCAAAATTAATTGCCTGGTTTGTCTTGTTGTGGTGAGACAACATTTACAGTCTCCATGTTACAAAAATAGAACTCGGTTTGCAAAAATGGAAAGAATTTGTTGAGGCTCAAAAGAAGAACTTTTCTTCATCCACTTCTGTAGCACTTTAATAAACTAATGTTTAAATGGGATGGATGGCTGTAAAACATTTTGGGGAGGCAGAATAAATATTTATACTGGACCCCTTGGCCTAGGCTTCAGTTTGTTTTTTGCAATAGCGAACAATTTCAATAATAAAACCTGAGAAAATGTCATGATTCATATATTGAGATGAAGCCTTTGGATGTCAAATGGTTAATACAGGAACCGACTGTTGGAAGAAAAGTCTTCATCCTGGTTCATCCAAGCTGGGAATAAACATGGCAACTGCTTTGGGAAGAAGGTTGTAGTTTATTGGAGAGGAGAGCCAGAGAGGAAGATGGTTCTGGCAGCAAGAGAAGTGAAAAAAGGACTTAGCACATGTAGGGAATAGGTTTTTATACCCTTTTGTTTGGTTATTTCCTGTTCCTGTTTTGAGGCTATTTCCTGTGTCATGTATTCTGACCTGAGTTTGGTGTGCCCTTTGGCCTTTGTGAGTTAATCCTACCATGTCCTGCCTCAGGTAGGATATGCAGATTTTAGGTCTTTGTCTTCCTAATCTCCTAGCTCCAACTTTCCTAATGGTTTACATCTGCATTTGTACAGAACTGGCTTCTGCTTGGGGGAGGCAGACTTGGGGCTATTAAGAAAACTGGGTATGCTTTCCTGCCTCTTCAAGATCCTTTGAGAAAATATTTCCTGCCCTTTTAATATTTCCTTCTCGGGAGGGGGGGCTGACTTCCCACACAACTAAATTATATCCTAGTAGCTTTTTTCCCATTTCTCTGGTCTCTGGTTTTTTTTAAACTGTCCTCTTTGAAAACCTTCAGTGGGATATCGCTAAATCCATTACAGGACTAGAAGTGCACAGAGTTGCTGATTGAGCTTGAGAGAGATAATACAACATCTAGCAATTTGTATGGGTTTGGAAAAGCAGCAATAATAAATCAGGCCTTGAGTCTCTGGTCTGTTACATAAGTATTATACAAGAGATGCTATTTTTTTCTACTGGAATTGCCAAATTGAATTTGAATGTCTTATGACTTTCATTCTTCCCATATCGTTAAGCTCTTGCAAGCATGATACTTTCCAATATGCTTGCCAAAAGAAACTAGTTTAATGAGGACTTTCCTCCATTTAAATCAATATTATTTAGTTAATATCTCAAATAGAGAGTATGTTTCAGGTGCTATTAACAGGAGATGCCAAGGCTGATAACTTCTATAGATACATTTTTTTCCCTCTACATTTGTTCTATGGCTCCTCCCAAAAGAATTGGGATGCAGTCCTGAGTCCTAAAGCCTTGTATACAGTGATCTAATAATAATAATAGTAAAGTTGGAAGGGACCTTGGAGGTCATCTACTCCAACCCCCTGCTCAGGCAGGAAACCCTATACCATTCCAGACAAATGGCTGTCCAATCTCTTCTGAAAAACTTCCAGTGTTGGAGCATTTACTGCTTCTGGAGGCAGGTTGTTCCACTGGTTAATTGTTCTAACTGTCAGGAAGTTTCTCCTTAGTTCTAGGTTGCTTCTCTCCTTGCTTAGTTTCCACCCGTTGCTTCTTGTCCTGCCTTCAGGCACTTTGGAAAATAGCTTGACTCCCTCTTCTTTGTGGCAGCCCCTGAGATATTGGAACACTGCTGTCATGTCCCCCCTCGTCCTTCTCTTCATTAAACATTAAACTAAACTCAGTCTTCATTAATCTAAACTCAGTCTTACTTCTAAATAAAAAACTATAGGATTAGACTGCAAATTTATCCTGCATCATCTTATTATGGAAGGATCCCATCAAATTGAGCTGATGAAATTAATTTATTTTACTTTGGGGGTCTTATGTAATAGCCATCATTTTTCCAAAACTTTATTAAATTTCAGAAAAATATAAAATACAAAAAAACGTATT